ACTGGGAGAGGAGAGGAAATAAAGGACACTAACTTCTGATGGTTTAAATCTTAATTTCTGAAAAAAAATGCAAACTCTTGGTACTATTTTTATTATATGATTATTTCTAATATGCACTGTATCAGAGACACTAACACAACATCATAAAGATGGTAGAATATTCAATGACCATACTTTTTAGAGGCCTGTTTAAAAAGACACTATCAAGGCTAGAAAGCTAAGAAGGTACAAGGGGTAGCTTTACAATATTTCCAATTTTCCATTTCATCTGGAGAACACTCCTATAATATACCCTGTAGTTCCATACACATAGTACAGAAGAAACCTAGAAAATTCTGCAGTAACATTATCTATATATTTTAGAATTGTGAGTCAGCCTGTCTGTCCATCTGTGAGTCCGTTTGCTCAAGAACTGCTGCTAAATGGCAAGAGCTAAGACCACCAAATTTTGTATGAAACTTCTTATCATAACCTGTAAGCAAGATGAGGGTTTGGTTGTGCCAGGACAGTGGGATGTGCCTGGAATTCAATTGTTTCTTAAAAAATGGAAAGGGAGGTCTCTGGTAGCAGGGGCAGTTATATTGTATAATAACCATGGGGTGGCAGCAAGGGGCCAGAGATGGCCCACTGTGAGATATTCCATGACCAGGGTTATATGACAGATCAGATTAGGTGAGGTGATGGATAATGCTGGTCTTAAAATCTGTTAACCATTTATATGAGATGATCCAAACCCAAGCACAGAGTATCAAAAATGAATATTAACTTTCTCAAGAGAATGAAAGATAGAGCCTATGAGCAGTCAAACTATTAAGAATATACTTAGATTGATCCAGGACATTTCACAAGAAAAAAACTAACCAAGTTAGAAAATGACTGATTAAAATATACAAAGTTGTGCTATGGATGGTACACATGCTATACATTGTTAGAAAACTTTTCAGCAGTTTGTTTTTCCAGGTCCTCTGGATCTGAATTAGTCCCATCACTCCAGTTCAGAATGTGTGTCACTCCAATATGCATACTAATAAACTTTAGAAATGAGAAAATATGGCGTTTCTATAAAAAATATGGGGATGTAACATCACAGCTGGTTTCTGGTATTGTTGTCATTTATATAAAACTGTTTGTATAGCTCTAAATCAGGTGGTGAAAGACTCCCTGGTCTTTCTCATAAGTTTGATTGGTTTTCTTTGTTGAAACATACAAACAGGACAGTCCAAAACTTAGAATAGAAGAAAAGAAACTAAGAATGAGTTTTATAACATAAAACACCTATAACAGGAAAATGTCAAGGCAAGGAATCACTAGCCTCTCCAGTATTTGGGTTGACACAACATTCCAAACTGCTCTGTCATTTCACATGCATACAGTACAATATGCAGGAATGTTTGTGCCATCAGAGCTAAACCTTATATCAGGCTTTATTAGAAGATTTACCCAGTGTTGCTTAGGTCCTTCAGGGCATGGGGCTAGAGCTGTGACAGTGCTGGAGTTAGGGCAGGGTGTGGGCTTGCAGGAGTCAGGGGGCTCTGAATGGTGGCGGGCGGTTAGGAGTCAGGGTAGGGAGTTCGGAGGTCGGGGCGGCTCAGGGCAGGGGGTGGGAATGCTGGAGTCAGGTCAGGGTGTTGGGAGGTGTGGGACTCCTTGCGGCAGCTGGGGCAAGGGAGGCTGTGCTGCCCAGCCAGCAGCTGCTCCCAAGGCCTTATGCTCTTGCTGCCCCTCTGTGGCTGTTCTGCAGTATAACACTTGCTACTATCAGAGCCCTCCTTTTACACAGTATGAGACACAATCAGATTCCAGGCACATCCCATTGTCCTGGGACAATCAAACCCTGACCTTGCTTTAAGTTTTGATAAGAGAAAGCTGAACACCAAATTTGGTGGTCCTAGCTCTTACCATTTAGGAGAAGTCCTTGAACAAACAGACTCATAAACAGACACACACACACTTTCTCTCTCAAACATATAGTAGACGGGGGAGGAAAGGCAGTTGTGAGCTAAATATGGAATACAGTCTTGAAGTAAGAGTGTTTCTACATAGAAAAAAACCTAAATGCAAAATGTGGCAAGTCCTTTCTCATAGCCGTCCTATCCATAGGATGGTTCAGAGGAGGTGCCACATTGGGCGGGGAGGAGGAGGGAGAGAGCATGAGGCCTAGGGCAGCCTGGGAAATTACTGGGTGGTGGGAGGCCGGAAAGGGTTGGGCCCACCTTCAGACTCACCTGTAGTGGCAGAAGCAGAGTGATCCAGCCCCAACCTGTTCCACTCCATCAGTCCCCAGCCATGTCACGGTGCTTCACCATGGCCACAGAAAGCAGAGCGTCCTGACCCCAGCTGGCTCTGTTCCCCCAAGTGATGTGACTGGGAGCCAAACTTGGAAGAGCGCAATGGGCTGGGGACGAGTGGCTACACTTCCTACTGTCGCAGTGAGCGCACAAGTCCCCAGCTCCTGCTACCCGCACCAGGCCCCACTATAATCCCCTGGATTGCATTACTTAGAGGAGGGAGGTTGGGGGAATGGGTGCAATGGGGCAGAGGTGGAACAGGGACAGAGACTGGGGGAAGGGATGGAATTGGGGTGGAATAGGGCAGGAAGAAGTGGGATAGGGTGAGGCCTGAATTGGAAGAGGGGTTATCCTGGGCCCTGCAAATGGTGCTACCTAAAGTACTAAAGTACATAGCATCTTTTTTTTTTGTACTGATATTCTAAATAAGTTTAATCAATTAATCAATCTTCACAAACATCATAATCCCAAAAGACTTTATAAACTCAGGGTGAGATCATAGTCTATGTTTCAAAACCAAGAAAGAGGCAAAGAAACTCAGCAAGACACCACTGCTGGAGTCTCTCCTCCATTTGAAAAATTAGCCCCATTTTCATGCAGAGGACACAGAGCCTTGATGTTGCACATTTTGTACAAAAGAGCCAGACACCCTGCAGAATGCATAGTGCTTAGCTTATCTACTTCGAACAGAGGAAGGACACAGTTAATTATGTCAAATGACAAACTCGATTCTCCAGGATGGTTTCGACATTCCGACCCTGACACACAGATCATTCAAAAGAATCTCAGATTTTCCATGGTTTTCTCAGCACCACTATGCCATACCTGTGGCCAGATAGATGATATGGAAAAGCATGTCCTTGCCCTGCACCACATCCACTGCCACATGGGAAAATCGACTGTTGTCCTCCATGAAGTAAGGAATTGGAATAACTGGCTGAACCACCTCATGCATTAGAATAAATTTTTGGGCATCCTGAAGATTCCTCTCAGTCAGATTCATGTACTGTCCCTGGTCCATTGTACCACACTGTAAATAAATAAATAAATAAATAAATAAATGTATATATATTGTAAATACATCTAAAACTCATAAGAAATCTAAGAACCCCGGTGACGAGTTCCAAAATTAACCATTACTTATGTGGGGGAGGGTGGGGGGGGGGCAGGTGACTTCATTCCACAATAAGTGAGTATCCATTTACAGGAGGCACTCCGAAAAGGATGAGTCTCCAGATCAGTATGTCCTCTTTATTTGCATTGAGAAGGATCAGTCTGTTCACAAGAAAATGAAGCTGCAATGTTACATGAAGTTGTATCATAACTTCAGAAAAAGATGAGTTATGAAGAATAATTGGGGGGGGGGCAGGTGACTTCATTCCACAATAAGTGAGTATCCATTTACAGGAGGCACTCCGAAAAGGATGAGTCTCCAGATCAGTATGTCCTCTTTATTTGCATTGAGAAGGATCAGTCTGTTCACAAGAAAATGAAGCTGCAATGTTACATGAAGTTGTATCATAACTTCAGAAAAAGATGAGTTATGAAGAATAATTATTTCCATCTCCTGTCATCCATTCCCAATATCCAGCAGTTATAGGCCTGAGGACATTCAGAGCATAGGTTTGCATCCCTGATAATATTAAAAAAAAATTCCTGACAATGTTTGCTAATAGTCTTTGATGGACCCATCCTTTGTGAACTTATCTAATTCTTTTTTAACCCAGTTATACTTTTGGACTTCACAAAAATCCTCTGACTATAAGCTCTACAAGTTGACTGTATGTTGTGTTGTTTGCTGCAAACCTGCTGCCTATTAAGTTAAATGGGAGAGCCCTGACTGCTGTATTATGTGAAGGGATAAATAACACTTCCTTATTCATTTTATCCACACTATTCATGATTTTATAGACATCTATCTTAGCTTCCTTTTAGTTGTCTCTTTTCCAAGCTTATCAGTTACAGTCTTTTTAGTTTCTCCTTATGTAGAAGCTGCTTTATACCCTTCTCTATATTCGTGATGTTAAAATGTGTCTATTTAGGTAAATGTGTAACTGCTAAAAATTTCAGCCGCTAGTCATTTACATATGGGAGGAGGGGAAGACGGCTCCCCATGTGTACTGGTTCCCATGAAGCCACCTCTGTATCAGAGGCAGCAGTGGCGGCGGGGTAGGGCCGGGGGTGAGGCAGCAGCAGAAAGCTGGTGCTTGCACCTGCCAAGAAGCAGCAGTGTGGGAGGGCGCAGGTGGCTCCATGGGAGCTGGCATGCACGGGGAGCTGGCTCCCACCTGGTACCCTCTCATACTGAAGCAATAGCGTGGGGGGGGTAGGGGCGGTGAGGAGAGGCTGTGTGTAACTGTGCATGTTAACCAATGAGCCCAGGCTCGTCGATTAACCATGCACATGTTTTCATGTTCACATCCCTACTCTATATCTTTTCCAGTTCTATGATAGATAGAAATTAGGTATCTATCTATTTGATTTAAGCAGTGTTAACAGCTCTGCAATTTCATATCTGAGTTCTCTCAAAACCTAACCAGTGCCCAGACTTTTGAGTCTTACAGTCAAACATATTATTATAAAAAGGACTCTAATCAATATTCTCTGTCCTGTTCTGCTTCATCTGAATCATGCAGGCACCAGAAAGGAAGTGGAAACCACCCAGAAATCCCCTACTGGAGATTCTACTTCATGGATATAAAGATCTTTTGCTTCTAAAAAAGCCATAATTTCTTTCAACAACTTCACTAAATTCTACATTTATTTGTACAAGTCAGACATACAAACCTCAACTTTAGGAGAAAGACTTTGCACTGAGGAGTACCTCGGTAAAAACAAGCTAACTTTGTAACTACCAATATTATAGAGCCATGCTGCTAATCAAATCATATTGTTAGGATCTGCAGAACTTTCTGGGCAGAAAAATAGGACTATATATTTTTTTCTTTTTCAGAAAGTTTCAAATATTGACTCACCTTTGGACTCATAAGTTTCATGATACAGAATCAAAATTGTCAGCCATTTTCAAGGGATGCACAGCATTATAGCTATACTACAGCTAACAACTGTGAATGAAGAGGCACACTGCTCCACAAACTATTTTTATTCCTTACTGCAATGACACATAAGTAGCCTTTGTTAAAGATGCATTAAATTCATGAGCACTTTAGGGGGACATCCCCTATACTTTTCAATGGCAAGTCTGGTTTGGCCGTCCAAATGGTCTGAAGACTGTTAGGATCTGTGTATCTTCTTTCACAGAAACAGTCACCATTTTTCTGATCAGGGATTGGTCAAAACCTTCTTACCCTTTACCATCAAACAATACTCCCTCTTCCCATTGTTCTGGCACAGGGGAAGTGGACACAAGAGTAATGCAGCATGGTTTCACTTGGCCTAAATGCTAATAGTAGTCTCACACTTGAATTCCTTGTTCCTCTTTCATAGACTTGAGAATATCAACAGGTCAAAGCTGAACCCTTATACTTCTGCCTTTCCAGACACATCAGCTTTCCCAAGCACATCATGCTTTGGGGTGAGCATAAACATGGTCACAGCTAATACTGAGTGCACTATTTAGAGTGACCCGTGGGGGGCATAGAGCTAGATGGTAAGAGTCTGTGTAAGCAGGTAGCACAGCCAGTCTTGCATTCATCCCAACCACAGTGTGCTGGGTCTCTGTAGTCTCTTCTACATGGTATCAGAGTGAAAATGAATAGAGAGTCAACAGATCAGAGAACATCCCTGAAAAAAGGAGAAAGGGAGAGGGAAGGGGCGGGCAGGAAGGCAAACAAGCAATCTTTCTAGCCCAGCCAGAACAGTGCACAGAGCTAGCAGTTCAACGAGCACAGAAAAGGTCAGAAAATACAGAAAATCCGGAGAGAACTGCTATGATGAGTTCAGGCTCCCACAAACAGTGGGGTAAGGAAAGCAAGAGACACTGAAACTAAGGCTAGGTCCACAGCAACACCAGCTTGCTTCCTGAAAAGTTACCCCACCTTACTCCATACAGGAGGACCTGGTAAAACAGCAGAGATGAGTACATCTGACTGAGACTTTTCCCAACCCCTCAGCCCCCAACAGAATTTAATTTCCTACACTGTGAGGGATGGCCACTCTGTGTAAGCAGATTCCAGAGGTTCCATCTGGCTCATGCCAGCAATCAGAGGAGAAACAATACCCTGCTCTGTACAGTGCGACTTGCAGCAGACAATATTATCCTTCCCAGAAGCCTCACAGCTGCTCACATAAAACAGCCCAGTATAATTAAAGTAGTACTGGAGAAGCATTTCATGTTACAGCACCATATGATTTGTGAGAAAGCACAATTTCACTTACGTAAGCAAGAGAAGGGTGAGTCAGTGAATGATTTCATAGCAACTCTGCACAACCTAATCCAACACTGAAATGTTCCACATGCAAGAAATGTCTAAAAGGGGCCCGTTACGCAGCAGGCTGCTGGTCTCAATCTACGGCAACAGCTGTCTTTCAAGACAATGACCTAAAAGACACTGAGCTCGCCCATTTGGAGCAATAGGAGATGAGCATGAAACCCCAGAATTAATCACAATAATCACCATAGGAAACCTATGAAATAACAGGCCCGTACGCCGGAATTTCTGTGGGGGATGTATGCTTTTTTTGTAAATGTGGATAACAATTTTTTTTAAATATAAAGGAGTTCAAAATAGTCATGCAATAACTGTGCATAAGAGAAGTTAATGAAAAAATTGAGTGGAAACAGTGATTGGTAAAATCATTTCGTTATAACATACTAAAAATGTATACAGTAATAAAGGTTTTACAGAAATTACCTTCTGGGATCATGGCGGGCAGTGCGACCGCCATAGCCACCCATTCCCGTGGCTCCCTTTGCCTGCTGCTGCTCTATCTGCTTGGTGAGGTCAGCGCTAGGTGAGTGGGGGCGGGGTATCTAGCTAGCGGGGCCAGGCCCAGGCCACTCCTGAGTGGAACACATTGTTCTCCCGGCCCTGTTATACTGCCACTAGCCCCAACCACCCATCCCCCCACAACACAGCGCTCTCCCATCTCCCTAACAGTGGTGCTCAAACTTTTTGGTCCGTGGCCCACCTGGCTCAATGCAAACCTTTCCATGGCTCTCTGTTAATTATATAATTACGCCCGAGTCATTTTGCTCATGCTGCAGCTAGGGAGAATGGTTTAACGTAACCAGTAAGAAAGGCGATATTCAATTATTAAACAGATTAAGCAGTTTAACTTTTTCATATTAGTTTATCAAGGTCTTGTTTTAGTAGACTACCACTTGACATATTTTTATCCTATATAAGCCAAGCAAAACCAGGACATTGTCATCTGATGGTGCAGTCTTCCTTCAGGAACAATCATCTTGTCTGTGACACCTAGCAGCACATACCAATATAGGGTAGCACAATGCACACATTAGAAAAGATGTCCTAGCCACTATACATAGCCATATGAATATTTCAGAGACTTTCTAGCGAGCATAAAACTTCATGTGAAAACTGATCACAAATGCCTCCAAGTACTGAAAAAGAAGGAAAAGGCAGATGAATTACTGAATCAAGTGATGACTCACTGCAAAGAAAGCTGGACAAAACATATAGTAAGAAAGCTCTGTGATATCACATTGGATGGTTTCCAATAAATGTGACCCGCAACCAACTAGTTATCCTTACATCAATGTAACAGGAAATCCTCGACAGACTGCATGAGAGACCCCCAAGGTATTACAAAATACATAGAGAGAGCTAGTCTGGCAGCCTGCTCTGAGCAAACAACTACAACAGAGTGTTGAGAAATGTGATATTTGTGCTCACATGAGAACCAATCTGCTGGAAGCCGTACTACCATCTGCTCTACAACAAAGGCCATGGCAGACAGCTGGTATTGATCTTTTATATCTGGTCAATGTAGCCTGATTATTTCTCAAGATTCACTGAAATTGCCAAATTGCTTAATAACTCATTGTGTTCGTGCTCTCGAGGGTCCAAGACAACTACAGTGCAGACTCGAGTAGCATGCAAAAGT